CAAAGTGTAAAGAAGAAGGGAAGCAACGTGTAAAGAAGGGAAGCAACGTGTAAAGAAGAAGGGAAGCAACGTGTAAAGATGAAGTGTAAAGAAGAAGGGAAGCAACGTGTAAAGATGAAGTGTAAAGAAGAAGGGAAGCAACGTGTAAAGAAGAAGGGAAGCAACGTGTAAAGAAGGGAAGCAACGTGTAAAGAAGAAGGGAAGCAACGTGTAGAGAAGAAGGGAAGCAACGTGTAAAGAAGGGAAGCAACGTGTAAAGAAGAAGGGAAGCAACGTGTAAAGAAGAAGGGAAGCAACGCGTAAAGAAGAAGGGAAGCAAAGTGTAAAGAAGGGAAGCAACGTGTAATAAGGGGTGATTGGGGAGACATTGTACATCTTCTCTGGAAGGTTCCGGACAGGAAGCGGCGGGACTCGCGGACATCAGACAATGTTACAATCTGTAGAAATGTTTCTCTTTGTTCTACAATTTGTTCCGTTTCCGGGAGGAAGAATTTGCTGGAAAGATTCCGGAGAGCCGGTTGCCGTGGTGAACGTTTTCCTCTTCTGACAACAATTAGGAAGAATTTCCTTGTAGATTGGAGAGAGAACATGAACCGCGATATGTAAAGTAGATGTAGACCTCAGAAGCGACGCGCGTCGTGAACATCCGCCATCATTTATACAATCCTCCTCGTCACCTTTTTCATATCGGTGCTGATAATCTCCTGCTGCCTGTTTAGACCCGGTGATGTCATCACTGGGTCAAGGTGCTTCCTTGTGCAATGCAGGCAGATCATGGCTGGTAGGAGGGGCCAGCAGGGTGCTGTACATGGCTTCCTTAAAACATCACAGCGCCCTGTCTCGGTGCTCCTCCTCTCAAGAGCCCTCAGCCCTGATGTAGGCAGTGGGTGGGCTCTTGGGAGGAGTTATGCAAATATGCCGGGATGGGTGATTGTCAGTGTAGAGGACGTTCCTAGGCATGTTGTTTGTACATGCAGCCCGCCCCCAGGCAACGCCCACATGTGATGGATGGGTGTCAGTGTGGAGGAGTGGGCGTTCCTACGCAGGCTGCATTTGCATGCAGACCGCCCCCCAGGCAACGCCCACATGTGATGGATGGGTGTCAGTGTGGAGGAGTGGGCGTTCCTACGCAGGCTGTATTTGCATGCAGCCCGCCCCCAGGCAACACCCACATGTGATGGAGGGGTGTCAGTGTGGAGGAGTAGGCGTTCCTACGCAGGCTGTATTTGCATGCAGACCGCCCCCCAGGCAACGCCCACATGTGATGGATGGGTGTCAGTGTGGAGGAGTGGGCGTTCCTACGCAGGCTGTATTTGCATGCAGCCCGCCCCCAGGCAACACCCACATGTGATGGAGGGGTGTCAGTGTGGAGGAGTAGGCGTTCCTACGCAGGCTGTATTTGCATGCAGACCGCCCCCCAGGCAACGCCCACATGTGATGGATGGGAGTTCAGATTTAAATTCTGCGTTCTATTCGGAGTTCCCGTTTAATCCATGAGGATCAGGGTAGGACGTCGCCCGCTATCTGCTGATCTGACTCCGTGGTGGAATGCGATGGTAATTGAAATACATTTAAAGCTGGACTCCGCCCCCAAACTATTGATGTCACATGAGGCTGAACTCAGAGCCGACACAGCAGGACGGAGATACTTTGTAACAAATGACAGTTACTGAGATTTATGGGTCACGTGACCGGAATACAGATACTTCTTCTTGTGGTAAATCTTCGAGAATCGCCCTTGTGGACCGGAGACGGTTCTGGGCTCCGGATATCTGAAGGTCTGACAATGGGTGGTGACCACCCTCAGCCCCCCCGCCCCCCATTTCTTGTATGGGTGTCACCGGGACAGGACGTGACAGGAAGACAGAAATACGAGAGATATATTTTAAAGCTGAACTCCGGGCAGAGAGAAAAGATCTGCAATCATTAAATGGATATTTAACATACAAGCAGTGTCCGTACCTGATGCTCGGCCTGCTATCAGCCTCTTGCAGCCCCTGTACAGCGGAGCTCAAACTGGGGAGGGAAAACTTACACAAGGAACCAATCAGCTCCTATGCTGAGAAGAAGTATGCTAATACTGGAAATGCCCCAGGAAGTTGGAGTGTCACTCGGCTCCTCCGGGGGAATATTAATTCAATCCTGCTGCCGGCTGTTGTCACGCTGAGAACCAGAAGAACAACTCCGGGGCGAACAGATCCAAATCTCCGCTCACAGATGTCTCCCTGAGGAGGCCGCTTTTTAATAATCCAGCCTCTTCATAGGAGAACTGGAAAGGGGCGGAGTCTGAATCACATGAGCCCACTTCATATTATACAGGTACAAATCCAACGCGTTTCGGGGGTTAAGAATGATAAATGGTGGACCATCAAACGCGTTTCCCGGACTGAAGTTGCTTCCTCTGATGTCACTGCACACCGGGAGCTCCTCACAATGTGCATCAGAAGCTGCAGCAAGTCAGAGCCACGTTTCAATACACCCAGCATCATCTAGACCTTTCCTCCCCCAGCCTGTCACTGTCCCCGCCCCTTTCGCTCCATTGCATTTCAGTTCTTTCAATCAGAAGGCTCCGCATCACATGTGGGCGTGACCTATGGCGGTCTGCATGCAAATGCATCAGTCTAGGAACGCCCGCTGCTCCAGGCTGACATCCACCCATCAGAGCATTTTAGATATTTGCATAACTCCTCCCAAGAGCCCGCCCACCGCTTGCGTCAGGGCTCTTGAGGGGAGTACTGACGCAGGGTGCTCTGATCTTTTAAGGAAGCTATGCACAGCACCCCGCCGGCCCCTCCCACCAGCCGTGGTCTGCCTGCAAGGCATAGAGGAGCGCATGACATCACTGGAGGATTTACACAAACATTCGATCAGCACGGTGATTGGGGGAGGAGCCAGCGCAGATTAAACTTCAGCTTTAACTGTTTTGGGTGGAGCCGCCCTTTTAAAGGAGAAGATCCAGCAAACGCTGACACCGTGCTAAAGTCAAGTCCGAAGCATAATACACCCTCGGCTGACACCAGAGCGGCCACTCCTTCCAGGGAAATCTTTGGGATTTTGGGGTTTTCTCGGAAGCTCGATGATTTGGGCTACAGAGTTCCCTTCCAGCTTTGTTCCCGGACGAGTGCGGCTCAGTCCTGAAAGAATTTATGAAACGCACATCGCAGGGAGAGGACCGGGGGAAAAGAAAGACGGCTATTTTTATGTCTTTGTAAGCCGCGCGAGGTCGGAGCTCAGGACGTGTGGGAGAGGTTTGCCTGAGTGTGGGAGAGGTTTGCCTGAGTGTGGGAGAGGTTTGCCTGAGTGTGGGAGAGGTTTGCCTGAGTGTGGGAGAGGTTTGCCTGAGTGTGGGAGAGGTTTGCCTGAGTGTGGGAGAGGTTTGCCTCAGGTGGCTGATTGGGAGTTACAGAGAGCTGTACAGTGATGTCTGAGCCCTGATCCTGTACAAGTGTGATTGGAGGTGCCAGAAACTGAGCTGTGTGGCAGGCAGCAGCAGGGGGCTGAGCTCTGTGGCAGGCAGCATCAGCAGGGGGCTGAGCTCTGTGGCAGGCAGCATCAGCAGGGGGCTGAGCTCTGTGGCAGGCAGCATCAGCAGGGGGCTGAGCTCTGTGGCAGGCAGCA